GAAATTTACATGATTCTGTCACTTTAGTCCCAAGAAGCACCATTTAAAAGAAACAGGATTCAATCTCCTGCCTACAGAATCAGGAGGTCAGGGCTGAAAAAATAATAGAAAGAGGACAGTGCAAAACAGAAGAAGGCTGCTCTGAAGCCTGAGTAGGGCTCTAGCCACATTAACAATATAGGCTTTGACAACACTATAATCATTTCTCATTACAGGAACGAGATCATGACAGAGCCGACTCAGAAGAACAGCAAATGGAGATAAAACACTCTTAATGAGCTGGAAGAATTGTTCTCATGGAGGAAATCAAAGACAAAAATGTCATTTCAGCATAGAAATGTCTTTAATTTTCTTTAATTTGTTTAATTGTGCAATTCTGGAATGAAGCTGCCACACCTCCTGCTGGAAGTATATAAAAGTCGCCATGTAGATGGTGCTGTATGCACTCAAGTAAACTAAACCCTGACATTCCTCCAAATCTGTGAATCCTGACACAATGTGCCACTGTGGCAGCTACTATGGAGGCCTGGGCTATGGCTATGGCTCTGGTTATGGCTGTGGATGTGGCAGCTTCCGGGACCTAGGCTATGGCTTTGGTGGCTATGGCTATAGCTGCTGGCGTCCATCTTGCTGTGGAAGGTATTATTCCTTGGGCTTCTACTGAAAAACCACCTGCTCCTGCAGTGGCATGGAATCCTTGTGCAATCCTGCTTGGGGTAATTTCACTGTACTATTAAGACATCACATTCCATCTGCCTCTACAGCTGGGTGGCATAGGAGAGCTATCACAAGAAGGCCTTGGAATCCCTATGGAGCACTCAGAGCAGCAGAGACAGGAACTGAGCAGGACTCATCCTTCTGGGAAATGATGTAGATTCTCACCTTTCATGAGGGAGATTCCCCAACAACAGCTCATTTCCAGTGAGTTTGCTCAGCTCTGATATACAACTGAGGTGTCTGCTATGCTATTCTAATAAACATGTTTCTCTGGCTTAGCAAAACTCTTTTTACCTCTCTTCCTTGACCTCATCGTACCTCATTTTCAGCCTCAAATAGTGAAGTGATTTTCAATATTTACCCACACTTGAATGTCATTGCAGAAGATTTTCTCACCAATTCATCTTTTGCAATGAAGTGATACCTCTCCAGATTTTCATTAAAAAAAAACATTTTATTTTGTCATTAAATGTTTTTCTTAAATTTCACTTCAGCAGTACTTAAATTTTAGTATTTCATAATGACCAGCTTCCACTTTATCAAAGGCAAAGCTTATGACTCTATAAGCTGCATTCCTTCTCCCACATTTTCTGTGCATATGGACAGGGTTCTTATCTTTAAGGTTTCAAAAATATTCACACGTTCATGGCCTCATGTTCGTGGTTCATGACCTCCAGATCCAAAGTGTCCCTAATGACCGTCAGAATTTGGCTTAGCCTATGCCTTGTTTAGCTGTTTTCCACCACTTTGTTGTCACCAAGCAATTTGAAGTTTTGGAGCACAGAACAAGTGAATGGCACTACACAAAGACTACAGAAGAAGGTCATATACCGTATCTGAAAGCTGTTGTGTAACCTTACCCTCAGTGGGTCCCATCTCCTACAGTCACCTAAAAGCACATGTTCAAGTAACAACAGTGTCCTTAGGATTAGGCCCTGGCATCCATGGAGGAAGTAGACTCAGTGTTGCAAAGGTTACAAAACACTCAAACACTTGAACTCTCTAATCAACTCAAACTCTCAGGGAAACAAAGTTTCTGTTTTGCTGTTCCACAATATGCCTCCTGGCTTTTAGATTCCACAGCTAAATGTCATCATGGCCCCTCAAAATCATGTCTCTCAGATGTGTTGTTGGGAAGAAACCCAGAGTTTAGCATTCTACCTGGCACATAAAAGGTGCTTAATAAGCATGTATTGCTTGAAATATTTATTGATTGAACTCATTTCAGTGGAAGAAACAGCAGAAGTGCCACTATCAACAGATCTTCTCTCTCCTGCTGTTTGTTAGTTTAAAATGAATTTCTGTTTCTGCATATCACTAGTGGTTTTATTCTACATTCATAAAATGGATGTACATTTCTATGGATCCACTGGGTTTTCACTAGAAATGCCCTTGGCAGCCACACTACATTCAGTCCCTCCCAAAACATTCTTTCCAAGTGATTCATCAATCCTTTGTCAGCCGACATTCTATAGAGGTCACTTCAATGGAAAATATCCTTGTGGAAGAAGATCATTTCTCTCTTGGACAGCTCTCATTGTGCAAAGAATATTTTGTTCTCTTCAGCAAAGTCAAAAATCAGGATTTTTTTTGTTTTTTGTTTTTGTTTTGTTTTTGGATGGGGGGATGACACCGGTGAATCCACATTCTACAAACAGAATAGATCTAGTACATGTACAAGCAGATATTCATTAAAATACCTTAAGAGAGCTAGCTCCAGAATGTCCTCGAAACCCAAGTCCCAGTTCCTTCATGTGAGTCTTTTAGGGATTCAGCTGGAGGCCCTTCTGCCAGATTGTATGGACTCCTCTTGAACCTCTTCAGTTTAGTGGAAGTTCAACCATGCCCTGAAGAGGCAGGTGAAGATGGACCATTGCTTCAACTTCCTGAATTCTAGTCTCTAATCTACCTCTTCTTATAATCTTATGGTAACAGTGGAATTTCTGGTGGTCATGTGACATCCTATTGAGCTTCCTTATCCTTTAGTATGTAGCTGTGAGAGGTCTGGAAACTGAGAGGAGAGAGAAGAGAGCTATTGCTGCCCTAACCACCTTGAGTTTACTTTTCACAGGGTTAAATTGAAATCTGCAATGGGTACAGTTTCATTGTCTCTGATACTCACTAACCCAACTCCAGTTCAGGACAACCATTTCTCCTAAACTCATTTGTTGTTGTTCAGCTGGCTGTCCACCTTTGCTGACATTGCATGATCCTACCCAACTTGATATTATCAGCATTTTTCAGTATTTCCACATTCAAAATGTCCATGGCTACACTACAGTTATTGTGGCCTACTCAGAGTTCATGACTGCTCTCCTTTCACTATCTTTGAATAGCCCTGGAAAACTGGTTATTAGCCCCAACCTTCAAGAGAAACTGCTCTCTCTAAAGAGTCCAGTGATGTTCTCATGACCAAAACTAATGGCCTCTTCTGAGTTTTCCTTCTTGACCTTCCTTCAACTTTTGACTGCACAGCCCAACAGGTGCTCCTGAGTTGGTTTGACACAGCTTTTATAACCTAACAGTCCTTTTCTGGTGGCCTTGGGTGGCTGACCATCGCATCATCAAAAGGCTGACTATCTCAGACTGACCTCTAAAGTTGTGCTTCTTTTCCTTTCTCTCCACTATGTTCTCCAGAGAGGTGAGAGAGTCAACCCTCCTTAGGTCTCAGGGCTCCAGAGACCTTTTCTCTGCCACTCTGCCGTTCACTGTCACTCCTCTAGATCCATACCTGCATTTCTCTTGAGCTCTACTCATAAATCCTAAACTTATCAGACTGGACAATTTCAGCTTGATTTCCGCTAGGCATCTCAAAGCTACCAAGTCTACAAGAGGCCTCATCTTGCCTCAAGCAAAGCACCCTACCGCTTTTCAACTTCTTTACTCCTTTCAAGAACACCAACATCAAGCCAAAATCTTACTTTTATAGTCTCAGGGACTTCCTTGACCCTGCACTATCAATACAAATATCTGATTAGTTGACTAAACTTGTCTGTTCTACCTTCACAACATCACTGACATTCAAACACTTCTTTCCAATCAAATGGTTCCCACCTCAGACTGGACCATCATAGGACCTCACTAAAAGAGCATTTGATTGGTCTCCTTGACTCAATCATTTTCCTACCCAGATTCACTCTCCACTCAGATGCCAAAGGGATTTTCCTAAGGAATTATTCTGACTCCTGGTCCCCTATAACTCTGAAGAGTCCCAGGTCAGACAGTTGTTACCTTGTAAAATCCAGTGTCTTTTACTTCCATGATGATTTAAACGAAAAGCTTCTAGCTGGCATTTTACCCTTTTCTTTAGCTGGCCTATTTCCATCTTTACAATCTCAGTACCCTTTACTTTTCCCCCGACAATTTATGTTCTTCCCAGTGCTAGCCTACCTTTTTTTCACTCAGACAATGACCTGCATGTTTCTTCGGCTTGCCTTTGCAATGGCTGGCTATCTCCCTGCCCAGAATCCTCTCCTCTCTCCAATTTACCCCTCTGACTTTCTCTGGTCCATTATATTCTTAGTTCTAAAACAACTTGAGGCACATGGCCTTGCCTCTTTCACCTAGTGGCTTGTGCTTCTGCCTCTGAGATCTTTTCCCATCAATTCTCTATGTTTATGGCAGGAGCCTTAGTATTTTCATGTTCTCACTGAGCTTAGAATTTAGAGCTGCCCAAGAAGAGGGACTTGGTTGACATTTTTTTTAACTGCAACCAAGAGCATAGTGGCTGGCACGATGCAAACACTGGGAAGGTGGTTTGTGCTTTGGCTACTTTTGGAATAGTTCTTTGATGGACAGATTCCACAAAGTTGGGCTCCATCACAATCTCAACTCCAATCTGAAATTTACGTGAACTATTCTGTCACTTGAGTTTCAAGAAGCACTGATTAAAAGCAAAAGGATTCCATAGCCAAAGTAAAGTATCAGAAGGCAAGGGAAACAAGAGTAATGGAAGGAGCATAATGCCATCTGGGAGAGAGCTGCCATGAAGCCTCAGTAGGGCATCAGCCACATTAACCACATAGGCTTTGACAACACTGTAATCATTTCTCATTACAGGAATAGATTGTGGCAGAGTCTTCTCAGAGATACAACAAAACCAGATTAAAAAACTTCAATGAGCTGGGGATATTGTTGTTAGGGACCAAACAATGACAATAATGTGATTTTGCCCTGGCAATTGGGTTAATGGGAATTATGCAATTCTGTCCTGAGTTTGCCACACCTCCTGCTGGAAGTGTATAAAAGTCCCTGTGCAGATAGTGCCACATACACTCACACAACCTACAATCAACATCTATCTAAATAAGTGAACCCTGACACCATGAGCTACTACGGAGGCTACTATGGGGGCTATGGGTCTGGGTATGGCTGTGGATGTGGCAGCTTCCGTGGCCTAGGCTATGGCTTTGGCAGCTTGGGCTATGGAGGCCTGGGCTATGGTGGCTATGGCTATGGCTGCTGGCGTCCATCTTGCTGTGGAAGGTATTATTCCTTGGGCTTCTACTGAAAAACCACCTGCTCCTGCAGTGGCATGGAATCCTTATGCAATCCTGCTTGGGGTAATTTCACTGTACTATTAGGACATCACATTCCATCTGCCTCTACAGCTGGATGGCATAGGAGATCTATCACAAGAGGGTCTTGGAATCCCTATGGAGCACTAAGAGCAGCAAAGAGGCAGGAACTGAGAAGTACCAGGACACGTTTTTCTGAGAAATGATGTAGAATCTCACCTTTCATGAGGGAGACTCCCCCAATGACAAGCCATTTCCAGGAAGTTTGCTCAGCTCTGAAACACCATGACTGATGTGTCTGTCATGATTTTCTAATAAACCTGCTTCACTGTCTTATCAAAATTGTTTTCATCTCTCCTCCTTGATCTCACTGTACTTGGGTTTCAGCCTCTCATCATGAAGAGATTTTCAACCTTGATATTCTTATATGTGTCATTGCAGAAGATCTGACCTACAATTCATCTTTAGCAATGAAGAATACCTCTCCAGATTTCTGTTCAGAAAACATACTTTCTTGCTAAATATCTTCCTAAAATTTGACTGCTGCAATACTTACATATTAGTGCTTCATAATATCCAGGCCCCACTTTACTAAGGCAAAGCATTTGCCCTCTATAAGCTGCATCCCTTCTCCCACGTTCTGCACAGAAATAGACAAGGTGTTTATCTTCAAGGTTTCAAAAGTATTCACATGTTCATAGTGTCATTTTCATGATTTGTGATCTCCAGATCTCTAATGGCTGTCAGAATAGGATTAGACTATCCCTTGTCTTGGGCAGCTAGATGGTAAAATGAATAGAGTGATGAGCCTGGTGTCAGGAAGACTCATCTTATTGAGTTCTATTCTGGCCTCAGATACTAACTAGTCTGTGTGACCCTGGGAAAGTCACTTAACCCTGTTTGCCTCAGTTTTCATATCTGTAAATGACATGGAGAAGAAAATATCAAACCACTGCATTATCTTTGACCCCCAATTGGGGTCACAAAGAGTCAGACGCAAGTGAAAAATGACTAAATAACAAATCTCTTGTCTAGCTATCTTCCACCACATTGTTATGACCAAGAAATCTGAAGTTTGGAGCATGGCATATTCTGGAGAATAGCCCAGAGTTAGATATGAAGTTTGAATATTGTCAAGAAACCTTTTGCCTTGGGTAGGCCCTATCTCTTCATGCCAACTGCACAACCTGCCCAATGCAAAACACTAACCTCGAGCTGAAGCCCCCCTTTCCATGGGGGTAGTGAACCCATGGTTGCAAAGGTATCCTGCACAACACTCAAATGCTTAAACTCTTTAATCAACTCAGTCTCCCAAGAAAAGACAGCATCTGCTTTGCTGCTCAGCAGTCTGACTACCAGCCTTTGAATTTCCCAGGTTCACAGATCGGCTAATCTCCAAAATCATGTCCCTCAGATGGGTCCTTGGGAAGAAAGCCAGAGTTTTGCTTTCTACCTGGCACAAAGTAAGTGCTTACTAAATTTTTATTGATTGAAATTCTGTTTTAGGCAGGAAATGCTACAAGTATCATTACTAATGGTTTTTAACCCTACTTAAAACGCTCAAGCTTAAAATGAATTTCTATTACTATATATCATTGCTAGATATTATTCTGCATTGAAAATGCATGCATTTCTCTATATCTCCTGGATTTTACAGGGAAATGCCCTCAGCAGCCATATTTTATTGATTTCTCCCTAAACATGCTTCCAAAAGATTGACCAATGTTTTGTCAGGAGACATTCTATGAAGGTCAATTCAATGGAAACAAATCCTTCAGGCAGAAGGTAATTTCTCTCTTTGACTCATCTCATGGGGCAAAGAATATTTCACTCTCTTTAGCAAAGACAAAAATCCACATTATCCTCTTTATGGACAAATAGAAGAGATCTCATACTTACACTATGTAATGGCCATTCAAACACTTTAAGAGAGTCAGGACAAGTCGCTGAGTGTCCTCTAAACCCAAGAGTCCAAGTTCTTTGAAATGAGTCTTTTAGATCTTGAGCTAGAGGACCTTCTACCATGTGGCCTGGACTTCTCTGAATGCTCTTCAGCTTGGCCAAAGACCAGCCATGCACTGAGCAGTGCAGGTTACAGATAGACCATCACCTCCATTTTCCTGAGCTCTAATCCCTTGTATTCTTCATCATGAAATTTCAAGGTCACGGTGGGATTTCTGGTTGTCATGTGACATCATATTGGGCTTTCTTATCCTCAAGAGTGCAGTTGCAAAAAAAAGGATTAGAAACAGGGAGGAGTGGCTGTCTCAACAACTTGACCTCATTTTTCTCCTGGTCAATTGAAGAATTTCTGAATGTTCCATGACCAAACAGCTACTGCCTACCTTCACTTCTTTCTATTATACTTTCTCAGTTGGTGACCACCTCATCTGCCAAGGGCCCACTTACTTTCTCTCTGACATTCAATATCTAATCTCCATCTCCAGATTTGCATTTCTCCTCACCTCACTGTTTCAGTGAGCTTTCTATCTATGCCTAGATTGTAAGATCTTACTAACCTCATATTAACAGTTCTAACAGGAAGTAAATTACTTCCACACATAAAAAGAGCATCGCTATACTGGAATCATTTGTGCTTACTCAGCATCACTAGCTGCTCTCCTGGGAAGCCCTGAACATCACATTCCTGACCCTCACCTTCAAGAGAAACTGCTCTCATAGAGGTTGGAATGGGACTTTTGAAGGAGTGGGTCAGATGGAGAGTGTGAGAGTGGGGTTAAAAGATAAGGTAGCAGGGATAGAATAAAAAGAGAAGCTGAGAAAGAGAATAGTGATTAAAATAAGATAAATAGAAATTCACAATTAGTAATTATAACTTTGAATGTGAATGATATATATATATCAGCTTTCTTTGTGGGGGCAAAAAATATGGAAATTGCAGAGGTCCCCAGCAATTGGGAAATGTCTGAACAAATTGTGTTGTGTGGTTGTGATGGAATATTATGTGCTACAAGAAATAAAGAGCTCAATAATCCTAAAAAGTGTGGAAATACTTGCATGAAATGGTGAAGGGCAAAGTGAGCAGAACCAAGAAAACATTGTATACAGTAACAAAAATATTGTTTTAAGAATGACTTTGAGGAGTTGTGAGTTGATCCAACCATTCTGGGGAGCAATTTGGAACCATACCCAAAGGGCTATAAAATTGTGCATACTCTTTGACCCAGTAATACCACTTCTAGGTCTGTATCCCAAACAGATCATAAAAACAGGAAAAGGACCCACATGTACAAAATATTTATAGCAGCTCTTGTTTTTGGTGGCAAAGAATTGGAGATTGAGGGGAAGCCCATGAATTGGGGAATGGCTGAACAAGTTGTGATATATCAATGTAATTGAATCCTATTATGCTATAAGAAATGATGAGCAAGTGGACTTCAGAAAAACTTGGAAAGACTTACATGAACTGATGCTGAGTGAAATGAGCAGAACCAGGAGAATATTACGCACAGTGAACAGCCAGGTTGTATGATGACTGACTTTGAAACACTGAGCTCTTCTCAGTAAGGCAAGGATCTAAGACAACTTCAAAAGACTCACAATGGAAAATGCTATCCATATCCAGAGAAAGAACTATGGAGTCTGAATGCAGATGAAAGCATACTATTTGCTCTCCTTTTCTTTTGTTGTTTTGTTTCTTCTTTCTCATGGTTCCTCACATTAGTTCTAATTCTTCTTTACATCATGACTAATGTGAAAATGTGTTTAATATGAATGTATAAGTAGAGCCTAAATCAGGTTGCATGCCATCTTGGGGAGGGGGGAGGAGAGGGAGGGAGAGAAAATTTAAAACTCAAAATCTTATGAAAGTGAATATTGAAAATTAAAAACAAATAAATTAATTATTTAAAAAAGGAATAACTTTGAGCAACTAAAACATTTTGACTATTATAAATACACAAATTAAAAATAAAGGACATATGAAGAAAGAAGCTATCTGCATCCAGAAAATGAACTGGTAAATAGAAGTATTTATAGAATAATATTTCATATATAGAGATATAGTTATAGGTATACCTGTTTATGTCTAATGGTAGTCATCTCTAGGACAAGGGTGGGGAGTGAAGAAAAGAAAGGAAAAAATAAGTTTACATGATAACTTCATTATATATTTAAAAGGAATAGCAAGTTGTACAAGATAGATTAACAGTTTTGTGTGCAATCATTTTTTTATTATAATATGCTATGGAAATTCTTGTTTAATTCCATAAATGAAAATAAAATAAAATTTTAAAAGAGAGAGACAGAGAGAAACTGTTCTTTCCAAGTTGTCCAGTGATGACCTTATGGCTGAACCTAATGGTCTCTTCTGAATCTTCCTACTTCTTGATCTTCCTTTGGCTTTTGGTAATGCTGGCCACCTGCTGTTCCTGGTGTGCTTAACACTGCTCTTCTTGCCTGATTGTTCCTTCTTGTTCATCTTAACTAGCTCACCATCTTGTCCTTTCATGCAAAATAATTCTGGCTGAAGCCCAAGGTTCTTCCTCTTTTCATTCTTTTACCCATGCTCTCTCCAAGGGTGAAAGAATAGACCCTCCTTAGTTCCCAGGGTTTCTAAGACATTTCCTCAGCCACTCTCTGCCACATGTCCAGATGAAGACCAGGAAACTTTACTAAGACCCAGACCCCTACCATTAATTGTCAATGTACACAATTTCAACTTGATAACTGAGAGAGAGAGAGAGAGAGAGAGAGAGAGAGAGAGAGAGAGAGAGAAATGAATGAATAAATGAATGAATGAGACTCCAATCTGGAACAGGTGTCCTCATCCAAAACACCCTTCTTCTTCTCACTTTCTCTATTCCTTTCAAGAGAACCAACACCAAGCAAAGGTTTCAGGTTTACAATCTCAGGGACTTCCCTGACCCTGAACTATCAATGCAAATATCTGAGTAGTTCACAAAAGTTGTCTTTCCTACCTTTATAACATCACTGGCATCCAAAAACTTCTTTTCAATCACATAGTTCCCATCTTAGGTCAGGTGCTCATAGCACTTTTTCAAATGAGCCTTTGAGGGGCCTCCTTGACTCAGTCTTTTTCTCACCCAAATCTTCATTCCATTCAGTGCCTAACATAGTTTCCTAAGTCATTCTTCTGACTCCCAATATCCCATAATTTCCAAAAGTCCAGAGCCACACACTTGTTATGTAAACTCCAGTTGCTTCTTCTTCTGTACTGATTTAAATAGAAAGCTTCCATCTAGCATTTCACCTTGTCTTTTAGCTAGCCCAATCCTACCTGTACAATCTAAGTACACTTTATTTGCCTCCCCACATTTTTTGGTCTTGCCCATTCTGGTCTACCATCTTTCACTCAGATAATTCCCCACATGAGCTTTCTGCTTACCTTTGAAATGGCTGGCTGTCCACCCTGCCCAGAATCCTTGCCTCCCTCCTCCTGTCACCTCTGACTTTCTTTGATTGATTATATCCTCAGCTCTAAACAAACCTGTGGTGCATGGCCTTGCCCTTTTCCGCTAGTGCCTTTTGCTTCTGCCTCTGAGATCTTCTCCCATCAATTCTCCATGTTTTTGGCAGGTGCCTTGGTGTTCTAACTGAGCTTAGAAATTTAGAGCTGCCCAAGGACAGCTGACATCTCATTGGATCCCAATCCCTAAGCATAGTGGCACTCACAGTGCAAACATTGGAGAGGCGGTTTTTTGCTTTAGCTGCTTGTGGAATAGTTGTTTGAAGACAGATTCCACAAAGTGATGCTCCAACAAAATCTCAACTCCAATCTGAAATTTGCATAAACTATTTTGTCACCTGAGTCTTAAGAAGCCCTGGTTTGGAGAGAGGATTCTATAGCCCAGATAAAGTATCAGAAGGCCAGGGAGGAAAGTGTAATGAAAGGAGCATAATGCCATTTGGGAGTGGGCTGCCATAAAGCATCAGCCACATTAACCACATGGGCTTTGGCAACACTAGAATCATTTTTCATTACAGGAATAAGATGGTGGCAGAGCCTTCTCAGATATACAACAAAACAAGAGGAAAAAAACCTAATGAGCTGGGAGAATTTTTGTCAGGGCCTAAACAATGACAAAAATGTGATTTTGCCCTGGCAACTTGGTTAAGTGGTAATTATGGAACTGTGCCTTGGGTTTGCCAATCCTCTTGGTGGAAGTATATAAAAGTCCCTGTGCAAATGGTGCCATACACACTCACACAAACCAAACTCCAACATCCGCCCAAATCTGTGAATCTTGACTCAATGAGCTGCTATAGTGGCTACTATGGGGGCCTGGGCTATGACTATGGCTCTGGTTATGGCTGTGGATGTGGCAGCTTTCGTGGCTTAGGCTATGGCTTTGGTGGCTATGGTTATGGAGGCCTGGGCTATGGTGGCTATGGCTGTGGCTACCGCCCATCTTGCTATGGAAGGTATTACTTCTGTGGCTTCTACTGAAAAACCACTTGCTCTTGGCCTGTCAGAGAAATCTTGTCCCTCCTTGATTTGGGCTAGTTCCATGGCCTTGTAAAGACATCACATTCCATATGCCTCTATTCTGGGTGGCATGGGAGAGTTAAAACAACAGGGCCTTGGAATCCCTATGGAACACCAGGACAGAGAAGTGGTAGGGACTGAGAAGCAGCAGGACCTGTCCTGGCAAATGATGCAGAATCTCACCTTTCATGAGGGAGACTCCAACAACAACTCATTTTCAGCAAGTTTGCTCAGCTTAATACACCATGGCTGGGGTTATCTGTCATGATTTTCTAATAAACTTGTTTCCCTGGCTCAGCAAAACTGTGCTTGCCTCTCCTTCTTTACCACCCTGTACTTGGGTTTCAACCTTTCATCAGGAAGAGATTTTCAACCTTGATATACTTATTTATGTCATTGCAGAAGATTTGCTATCTAATTCAACTTTTGCAATGAGGTGATCTCTCTCTAGATTTGTGTTCAGAAAACATATTATTTCCTGTTAAGTGTCTTTCTCAATTTTGATTTCTGCAGTACTTACATTTTAGTACATTATAATACCCAGGCCCTACTTTAATGAAGGGAAGGTATTTGTCCCCTATAAGCTGCATCCCTTCTCCCACATTCTGTGCACACATGGACAGGGCTTTTATCTTCAAGGCTTCAAAAAGATTCACACATTCATGGTGCCATGTTCACGGTTCATGACCTCCAGATCCACAGTGTCCCTGATGACGGCCAGAACTGCCTTACACTTTCCCTTGTCTGGGGCAGCTAGGTGCTGCAGTGGATTGAGTACTAAACCTGGAGGCAGGAAGACTCATCTTCCTGAGTTCAAATCTGTCCTCATATACTAAGTAGTCTATATGACCCTGGGTAGGTCACTTAACCCTATTTGCCTCAGTTTCCTCATCTGTCAAATGAGCTGAAGAAGGAAATGACAAACAACTCCAATTTCTTGGCCGAGAAATCTTCAAATGGGGTCACAAAGATTCAGACACCAGCAAAAAACAACTCAACAACAAATCCTTTGTCTGGCTGTCTTTCACTACTTTCACTACTTTGTACAAGGAATCTGAAGATTTGGAACACAGCACGACTGAATGGCCCACCATAAAGATTATATGAGAGAGTCATATACAAAGCCTGAACATTTTAATGCTTGGGTGGATTGCAACTTGGGTCCAGCCAACTTCAAAGTCTGTTCAAGTCAAACACTGACCTGGAACTGAAGTTCTCCCATTCATAGAGGTAGTGGGCCCGTGGTCGCAATGACCTCCTGCACAACACTCAAACATTAAACTTTCTAGTCAATTCAATCACCCAGGAAAAGAGAGCATCTGCTTTGGAGCTCAGCAGCCTGGCTACCAGCCTTTGGATTCCCCAACTCCAAAGGCTAGCCTGTCCATGAAATCATGTCCCTCAGGAGTCCTTGGGAAGAAAGCCAGAGTTTTGCACTGTACGAAGCACATGTTAGGTGCTTAATAAAATTTTATTGATTAAAATTCTGTTTCAGGGAGTGGAGAAAACACTACAAGTATCATTACTAATAGAGCTTAACCTTCTAGCAGTTTGTTGCTCAAATGAATTTCTATTACTATATATCAATCCTAGGCATTACTTTGAATTAAAAATGTATGTATGTTTTTGTATATCAGCTGTATGTTAAAGGGAAATGCCCTCATCAGCCTAACTCTAATTCTCCTTAAACATGTCTCCAAAAGATTGACTAATCATTTGTCAGGAGACATTTTATGAAGGTCAATTAAATGGAAACAAATCCTTCAAGTAGAAGGTAATATCTCTTTTGGATTCATCTCATGGGGAAAAGAATATTACATTCTCTTTAGCAAAGGTAAAAATCAGCTAATACAGAGAATTCCATCACTGAATCCACATTATCCTTTTTATGGACAAATAGAAGAGATCTCATACTTACATTGTGAGGTAGCCATTCAAACACCTTAAAAGGACTAGAACAGGTCCCTGAGTGTCCTCTAAACCCAGGAGTCCAAGTTCCTTGAAATGAATCTCTTAGGTCTTGAGCTCAAGCTAAGCTAAATTGAGCTAGTTTAGGCCCTTGAGCTAAGAGAGCCTTCTGCCATGTGGTCTGAACTTATCTGAATGTTCTTCAGCTTAGCCAAACACCAGCCATGCACTGATCTGTGCAGGTTACAGACAGATCGTCACCTCCATTTTCCTGAGCTCTAATTCCTTGTATTCCTTTTCATGAAATCTCAAGGTCACAATGGAATTTCTGGTTGTCATGTGACATCTTATTGGGCTTCCTTATCCTATAGAGTGCAGTTTGAGAGGATTAAAAGTCTGGAAGAGAGATAACACACCTATGGCTGCCCCACCAGTCTTGACCTCATTTTTTTCTTGGTCAATTGAAGAATTTCTGAAATGTTCCACAGCCAAATAGCTATTGTCTGCCTTGTCTTCATTCTACTACACTTTCTCAGTTAGTGACCACCTCATCTGCCAGGTGTTCAGTTATTTCCTCACTGATACTCAATAGCCTATATCTAACCCTAGACCAGCATTTCTCCTGGACTCACGGGTTCAGTGGGCTGTCTATCTATGCCCAGATTGCAGGATCCCACCAATCTCATATTAACAGCACTTTCCATTCTTTTCACACATAAAAAGTACATGGCTATACTGAAGTCATTGAGGCCTACTCAGGGTCTCTAGCTGTTCTCCTTTCAATGTCTTTGAAAGCCCTGAACATCACATTGAGACCCTCACCTTCAAGAGAAACTGCTCTCTCCAGGTTGCCCAGTGATGACCTCATGGCTGAACCTAAGGGCCTCTTCTGAATCTTCTTGCTTCTTGATCTCCCTTTGGCTTTGGGCTGTGCTGGCCAACTGCTGTTTCTTGTGTGCTTAATACAGCATTTCCTGCTTGAATGTTCCTTCTTGTTCATTTTAACTGGCTCACCACCTTGTCCTTTCATGCAAAATAACTCTGACTGAAGCCCAAGGTTCTGCCTCTTTTCTTTCTTCTACTCATGGTTTCTCCAAGGATCCAGACCCCTACCATTAATTGTCAATGTACACAACTTCAACTTGATGGCCCATAGACATCTCAAATGAGCCCAAGTCTAGAATAGATTTCCTCATCCTGCCTCATGCAAAGGACCCTACCTCTTCTCAGCTTCTCTACTCCTTTCAAGAACACCAACGTCAGGTCAAAATCTAAAGTTTACATTCTCAGGGACTTCCCTGACCCTGCACTATCAATGCACATATCTGATTAGTTGAGTACACTTGACCACACAACATTAACTACACAACATTGCTGGCATCCAAGCACTTCTTTCCTATCAAACTGTTCCTGCCTTAGACAAGGCACTCACACTACTCTCCAAAAGAGCATTTGATTTGTCTCTTTGATGCAATATTTTTTCCCACAGAGATCCTCTCTCCACTCAGCTACCCAGTGGATTTTCCAAAGGCATTCTTCTGACTCCTGATCCTCTATAACTCCCAAAAGTCCAGGGCACCACACTTGTTATCATGTAAATTCCAGTTGCTTCTTTTTTATGGTAATTTAAATAGCTTCTGTCTGGCATTTTGCCCTCTTCTTTTAGCTGGCCCTATGCCCCCTGTCCAAACAAAGTGTACTTTATTTCCCTACCTACATTTTATGATCTTGTGAGAGATAGTCTACCTTCTTTCATTCAGAGGTTCCCAAATTTTGGCCTACCACCCACTTTCCAAAACAAAAGTACTCAGCACCCCCCTGGAAATCTACTTTCTTTAGCCCTTTAACTTTTTTTTTAATTTATGTCTTTTCAAAAATAAAAAAATTCAAGTGATGCATCTTAAATTTAATAATTTATTGTAAATTTGTTTTTTTCCTGCATTGCAATTTTGATGACACAATATTGCATCATGTAACTGTATAGCATAATATTATAAAACAAGTAATTATATGCACATATTCCTGTCTACTCATGATGAACTTCCTGACAACGCACAACATGCTCACCTGCCAACACTTGCTTGTTAAGGCCTGTCAGCAGACTTGACCACTGATCAGCTATAACTTGCATTTTGTGTGGTTATTTGGAAAATAATGTAATCACTATGACTTTAACTCTGTTACACAACAGATGAAACATGTACGAATGGGTTTTCAAACTTTTCTTATCTTCTCTTCTTTTCTTATGTTACCACAGCCCCCTTATTTTTATACAATGCTCCCCAATTGCACCTGAGGCTACTACTGGCCCCCTGAATCATTTCTGTGCCCCAGAGGGTGGTACCACCCACTTTGGGAACCTCTGATTCAGACAATCATCTGCACATGCCTTCTGCTTGCCTTTACACTGGCTGGCATCCAACTTGCCCAAAATCCTCACCTCTCTCCTTCCTACCCCTCTGACTGTCTCTGGCCTATTATATTCTCAGTTTTTACTGCCACATGTGTGGCATGTGGTCTTGTCCCTTTATACAAAGGTCTTGTGACTCTGCCTCAGATCTTCTTCCATCAACTCTCCATGTTTGTGGCAGGTGCCTTGGTGTTCTCACTGAGCTTAGAAATGTGGAGGTGTCCAAGGACAGAGACTCAGTTGCCATTTCATTCTATCTCAATCCTTAGGCACAGTGGCTGGCACAGTGCAAACATTGGGGAGGTGGTTTGTTCTTTGGCTGTTTTTGGAATAGTTGCTTGTTGGACAGATTCCACAAATCTGTGCTCCAACACAATCTCAACAACTCCTATTAGAAATTTGCGTAAATTATTCTGTCACTCAAGAATCAAGAAGCACTAATTAAAATAGAAAGGGTTCCATAGCACAAATAAAGTATCAGAAAGCCAGGGAGTCAAGTGCGATGGAAGGAGGGCAATGTCATCTGGGAGAAGGCTTTATGAAGTCTGGGTAGGGCATGAGCCACATTAACCACATAGGCTTGAACAACACTATAATCATTTCTCATTACAGGAATGAGATGGTGGCAGAGCCTTCTCAGAGATATAACAAAACAAGATAAAAAATTCCTTAATAAGCATGGGGTATTTTTGTCAGGGACCAAACAATGACAATAATGTGATTTTGCCCTGGCAATTGGGTTAATGGAAATTATGTAATTCTGTCCTAGGTTTGCCACACCTCCTGCTGGAAGTGTATAAAAATCCCTGTGCAGATAGTGCCACATACACTCACACAACCTGCACTCAACATCCATCTAAATAAGTGAACCCTGACACCATGAGCTACTACGGAGGCTACTATGGGGGCTATGGCTCTGGTTATGGCTGTGGATGTGGCAGTTTCCATGGCCTAGGCTATGGCTTTAGCAGCTATGGCTATGGAGGCCTGGGTTATGGTGGCTATGGCTATGACTGCTACTGTCCATCTTGCTATAGATGGTATTATTCCAATGGCTTCTACTAAAAAACCACTGGCTCCTGGCCTGTCATGGAAACCTTGTCCCTGTCTTCCTTGGGCTAATTCCATGGCCTTGTGAGAATGTCACATTCCACTTGCCTGTCTTCTGGGTAGCATGAGAGAATTACCACAACAGAGCCAGGGAATCCCTATGGAGCACTCAAGGCAGAGAAATGACAGGGAATGAGAGGCAGCAGGACCCATCCTTCTGGGAAATGATGCAGAATCTCATGTCAAGAGGGAGACTGCCCCAATAACAACTCATTTCCAGCAAGTTTGCTCAGCCCTGTTCCACCACAGCTGAGACGCCTATTATAATTTTCTAATATTTTAATTTCATTGGCTCAGCAAAATGGTTTTCTCCTCTCCTTCTTTACCTTCCTATCTTTGGGTTTCAGCCTCTCATCATGAAGAGATTTTCAACCTTAATGTACTTATCTACATCATTGCAGATTTGTTCTCCAATTCGTCTTTTTCAATTAGGTGATACTTCTCTAGATTTTTGTGTCAAAAACATATTATTTCCTTGTTAAATATCTTGCTAAAATTTCACTTCTGCAGTTCTTAAACTTTAGTATTTCATAATGTTTCAACTGCATTTTACTAAAGGGAAGGCATTTGTCCCCTATAAGCTGCATCACTTCTCATGTGTTCTAGGCACACAGAGGCAAGGCTTTTATCTTCTAGGTTTCAAAAACATTCACATGTTCATGGTATCATGTTCATGGTTTGTGACCTCCAGATCCAAAGTATCACTGATGACTGACAGAACTGGCTCAGCCGATCCCTTGTCTAGGGCAACTAGGTGGTGATATGGGTAGTGTGCCATGCCTGGGGTCAGGAAAAGTCATCTTCCTGAGTTCACTTATGTCCGCAGACACTACCTAGCCTGTGTAACCCTGGCCAAGTCACTTAACCCTTCTTGCTTCAATTTCCTCATCTGTCAAATGAGCTGAAGAAGGAAATGGCAAATGACTCCATTTTTTTGGCCAACACATCCTGAAATGGGGTGACAAAGAATCAGACACAAGTGAAAAATGATTGAACAACAAATCTTTTTTTCCAAGCTATCTTCCACTATGTTGTTACCACCAAGCAACCTGAAGATTTGGAGCACAGCACAAGTCTATGGTCAACTACAAAAACTGCACAAGAGAGTCATATACGAAGTCTGAACATTGTCATGGAACCTTGCACCTTGGATTGGCCCAATCTCTTCCTGCCAACTACGTAATCTGTCCAACTCACAATATTTACATCAAGGTGAGGCCTTCTCTCCATGGGAGTAGTGGACCCATAGTTGCAAAGATGTTCTGCAAAACACTCAAACACTTAAACTCACTAATCATCTCAAACCTCCAGGGAAAGAAAGGATCTGCTTTGCTGTGCAGCAGCCTGGCTATCAGCCTTTGCATACTCAGCTCCACAGGCCAGCCTGTCCCTGCATTTACATCCTTCAAATGGGTCCTTGGGAAGAAAGCCAGAGCTTGGCACTCTACCTGGCACATAGCCTAATAATTTTTTTATTATTTAAATTTTTTTCAGGCAGTGGAAGAAACACTATAATTTCCACTAAAAATGGATTTTATCCCTTCTGTTGTTTCATAGTGTAAAATGGCTTTCCATTACTATACAGACATTATTCTGCATTGAAAAAAACATGTGCATTTCTGTATATCCATTGGATTTTAGAGCAAAATGCCCTTGGAAGTCATATTCTATTGATTTCTCCCTAAATATACCTCCAAAAGATTTATCCTCATTTGTCAGGAGACATCCTATGAAGGTCAATTCAATGGAAACAAATCTTTCAGGAAAAAAGATAATTTCTCTCTTGGACTCATCTCATGGGACAAAGAATATTTCATTCTCTTTAGCAAAGACAAAAATCTGTTTGTTGATAGGGAGGGCATGCCATCTTTAACCTACATTATTCTCTCTAGGGAAAAATAGAAGAGACCTTTACTAATACTGTATGATGGTCATTAAAAAAAACCTTACGAGGGTTAAGACAAGTCCCTGATTGATCTCTAAACCCAAGATTCCAAATTCCTTGAAATGAGTCTGTTAGGGCAGAACTGGAAGAGCATGGTACACAGTAACAGCAACATTGTGTGATGATCAACGATGATTAATTTAGCTCTTCTCAGCAATACAATGATTCAAGACAATTTTAAAAGTCTCATGATGGAAAATGCTATCCAGAGAAATAACTGATGGAGTCTGAGTGCAGGTCAAAGTATGCTAGTATAACTTTCTTTTTTTCATGTTTTTTTTTCCTTTTGTTCTGTTTCTTCTTTCACAACATGACTAATGTTGAAATATGTTTAACATGATTGAACAGGTATATCCAATATCAGGTTGCTTGCTCTCTTGGGCAGGGGAAAAGGAGAAGAAGAGAGAGAAAAAAAATTGGAACTCAAAATCATGTAAAAAATGAATGTTAAAAACTATCTTTACATATAATTGGAAAAATAAAGTACTATTTACATTTTAAAAAAAGAAATTAGTCTCTTAGGCTCTCTACCAAATGGTCTGGACTCCTCTGGATGCTCTTCAGCTTAGCCAAAGACCAGCCACACACTGAGAAGTGCGGGTTACAGGCAGATCATCACCTCCATGTTTCTGAGCTCTAATTCCCTGTATTCCTCATCATGAAATCTCAAGGTCACAATGGGATTTCTGGTTGTCATGTGACATCTTATTGGGCTTCCTTATCCTTTAGCATGCAGTTGTGAGAGGATTAGAGTCTGAGAAGAGTCTGAGAAGAGAGATGATACATCTATGAATGCCCCAACATTTTTGAACTCATTTTTCTCCTGGTCAACTGAAGAATTCTTGAGATGCTCCTCAATCAGAAAGCCACAACCTAGTTTTCTCTCCATCAAACTTTCTCAAGTAGTGACCACCTCATGTGCCATGAGCTCATTTACTTTCTTGTTTTGACATACAATACCCCAGCTCCAGATTCAGACCAGCATTTCTCCTGAACTCACCGATTCAGTGGGCTGACTGTCTAGTTGGATTGCATGATTCTACCAACCTCATATCAACAGCAATTCTCAATACTTCCACACTTAAATATTGCTTGCTTTTACTGCAATGTTGGGATCCTACTCTGGGTCTCTAGTTGCTCTCATTTCACTCACTTTAAAAGCACTGAACATCACATTCCAGACTCTCACTTTCAAGAGATACTGCTCTCTCCAAGATGTCTAGTGATGTCCCCATAAATAAATCTAAGGCCTCTTCTGAATGATCTCTCTTTGCCTTTTGACACTACAGGCCAATTGTTGTTCCTGCTGTGCTTGACACTGCTCTTCAAGCCTGAAGATTCCTTCTTATTCATCTTAACTAACTTGCCATCTTATCCTTTCATGCAAAATAACTGACTGAAGCCTGAGGTTTTCTCTCTTTTCTTTCTTTCACCTGTACTCTCTAGAATGATGAAAGAGTAGAGCCTCCTTAAGTTCCAGGGTTTCTAAGACATTCCTTTGGCCGCTCACTGCCACTTGTGCATATCCATAATGCCATCTTTGGTAATATCCAGACCCATATTATCAACTGTCAATATACACAATTTCGACTTGATAATCAATAAATATCTCAAATCACCCCAATTTTAGAACCGATTTCCTCTTCCTGCCTCATACAAAGCACTCTACCGCTTCTTAGCTTTTCTACTTCTTTTAAGAACACCAACATTAAGCCAAGATCTTAGGTTTACAGTCTTGGGGACTTCCCTGACCCTGCACTATCAATATAAATATCTGATTAGGTGAATAAACTTGTATGTTTTACCTTCACAATATCACTGACATCCAAATACTTCTTTCCAGTCACACAGTTTCCTCCTTAGACAAACCCTCACAGTACCTCTCTAAAAGAGCCTTTGATTAGCCTCCTTGACTCATTTGCCCACCCAGATCCTCTCCACACTCAGCTACCAAAAGAGTTTTTCCTAAGGCATTTTTCTTACTCGTCTCCAATGTCTTGCAAAAGTTCCAGGCTCCACACTTGCTGTCTTGTAAACTCCAGCTGATTCTCTTTCTGTGATAATTTAAATAGATAGTTTCTATCTGGCATTTCACCCTCTTCTTTAGCTGGCCCATTACCACCTTTGCAGTCTTGATACACTTTATTTCCTTCCCTGCATTTTATGGTCTTGCCAGGGCTAGCCTACCTTCTTTCACTCAGACAATGTCCTGCATGTGCCTTTGCAATGGCTGGCTGTCCACCCTATCCAGAATTCTCTCCTCTCTCCCTCCTTCCCCTCTGACTTTCTCTGGCCCATTATTTTCTCAGTTCGAAACCAACCTGTGGCACATGATTTGCCCCTTTCTTTAAGTAGCTTGTGCCTCTGCCTCTGAGATCTTCTCCCATCAACTCTCCATGTTTGTAGCAGGTACCTTTGTGTTTACATGTTCTTATAGACCTTAGAACTTTAGAGCTGCCCAAGGAGGAGGACTCTGTCAACATTTTTTATAACCATGAGCATGATGGCTGGCACAGTGCAAACACAGGGGAGCTGGTTTGTGCTTTGGCTGCTGGTGGAATAGGTGGGAGGCAGATGGATTCCATCAAGAGGCACTCCATCACAATCTCAACCCCAATATGAAATTTGTGTGAAATGTTCTATCACTTGAGTCTCAAGAAGCTTTGATTTAGAGAGACATAGCCCAGAAGAAATATCAGAAGGACAGAGAGGCAAATGTAAGGAAAGGAAGACAGTGGCTTCCAGGAAAGGGTTGCCAAGAAGTCTGGGTAGGGCATCAATCACATTAATCACATAGGTTTTGAAAACACTATAATCTTTTTTTTTAATTATAGGAATGAGATTGTGATCGAGTCTTCTTAGAAAAACAACAAATCGAGAGAGAGAGAATAAAGAAAATCCTTAATAACCTAGGGGAATTTTCAGGTCCCAAACAATGAGAATATGATTTTGCCCTGGCAATTTGGTTAGTGGGAATTATGCAATTCTTCCCTCAATTTGCCACTCCTCCTGCTGGAAGTGTATAAAAATCCCTGCGCAGATGATACTGTGCGCACTCAGTCAAACTATAAAGCCTGACATCGGTCCAAATCCATGAATCTTGACACAATGAGCTACTATGGTGGCTACCATGGGGGCCTGGGCTGTGGCTATGGCTCTGGTTATGGCTGTGGATGTGGCAGCTTCCGTGGCCTAGGCTATGGCTTTGGTGGCTATGGTTATGGAGGCCTGGGCTATGGTGGCTATGGCTATGGCTGCTGTCGCCCATCTTGCTGTGGAAGATATTATTCCTATGGTGGCTACTGAAAAATCATTTGATCCTGTCTAGTCATGGACCAACAGGGCCATGGAATCCCTATGGAGCACTCAGGGCAGGGAAGTAGCAGGACCCGTCCTTCAGGGAAATGATGCAGAATCTCACCTATCATGAGGGGGATTCCCCCAACAACTGATTTCCAGCAAGCTTGCTCAGCTTTGATACACCACAGCTGAGGTGTCTGTCATGATTTTCTAATAAATTTGTTTCCCTGGCTTAGCAAAACTGTTTTCATCCATCCTCCTTGACCTCCATGGACTTGGATTTCAGCCTCTCATCATGAAGAGAATTTCAACCTCGATATACTTATCTATGTCATTGCAGATTTGCTTTCCCATGAGTCTTTTGCAATAAGGTGATACTTGCCCAAATTTCTGTTCAGAAAACATTATTTCCTTGTTAAGTATCTTTCTAAAATCTGATTTCTGCAGTACTTACTCTTTAGTACTTTACCACATCTCAGCTGCACTTTTCTGAAGGGAAGGTATTTGTTCGCTGTAAGCTGCATCCTTTCTCTCATATTCTGAGCACACATGGAGAAGACTTTTATCTTCAAGGTTTCAAAAAGATTCATACATTCGTGGTGCCATGTTCACGGTTCATGATATCCAGGTATCCCTGATGAACACTAGAAATGCTTTAGACTTTCCCTTGTCTGGGGCAGCTAGGTGGTGCAGTGGATTGAGTATTAGGCTTGGAGTCAGGAAGACTCATCTTTCTGAGTTCAAATCTATCCTCAGACACTAACTAATCCGTATGCTCTGGGCCAGTCACTTAACTCTATTTGCCTCAGTTTCCTCATCTGTCAAATGACCTAGAGAAGGAAATGGCAAACCACTCCATTCAGAAACCAGTGATAAATGACTGAACAACAAATCCCCTGTCTAGCTGTCTTCCACCACTTTGTTATCACCAAGGAATCTGAAGATTTGGAGCACACCGAAAGTGAATGCCCACCACAATGACTACACAAGAGTCACATACCAATTCTGAACATTGCCAAGCAACTTTTTATCTTGGAGGGGTCCCATCTTTTCCAGCCAACTGCATAGTCTGTCCAACTCAAGAATACTGACCTAGAGTTGAGACTCTCCCTCCATAGGGGTAGTGGACCCGTGGTTGTAAAGACGTTCTGCAAAACACTCAAACACTTAAACTTTCTAATAAACTCAAACTCCCAGGGAAAAGAACATCTCCTTTGCTGCTCAGCAAGCTGGCTACCAGCCTTTGGATTCCTTCAGCTCCACAGCCCATTCAGTCTCTGAAATCATTTCCCTGGGTCTTTGGGAAGAAAGCCAGAAAGTACTCTACCTGAGACGTAGTAGGTACTTAATAAAATTTTAACAGATCAAAATTGTGTTTTAGGCGGTGGAGGAAATACTACAAGTGCAATTACAAATGGGATCTTATCCCTCTTGCTGTATGTTAGCTTGAAATGAATTTCCATTACTATATACAACTCCTAGGCATTATCTTACATTTTAAAAAAATGTACATTTATGTATATTCACTGTATTTTAAGGAGAAATGCCCTCAGCAGCCTCACTCTATTGATTTCTCCCTAAACATGCCTACAATAGCTTGACCAATCATTTGCCATGAGACATTTTATGAAGGTCAATTCAATGGAAATAAATCCTTCAGGAAGAAAATAATTTCTCTCTTTGGCACCTCTCATTGGTCAAAAAATACTCAATTCTCTTTAGCAAAGGCAAAATTCAGTTGTGGGGGTGGGGAATGTCATCTCTGAATCTACTTTATTCTCTCTAGGGATAAGCAGAAGAGATCTACTACTTATACCACATAGTGGCCATTTAAACACTTTAAAAAAGCTAGCATAAGTTCCTCAGTGCCCTCTAAAAACAAGAGTCCACATTAAGTGAAATCAGTCTTTTATTTCTTGAGCTAGAGGGTCTTCTGTCATAATTGTCTAGACTCCTCTGGATATTCTCCAGCTTAGTCAAAGACCAGTCATGCACTGAGCAGTGAGGGTCACAGATACACCATCCCCTCCATCTTCATGAGCCTCCTTCCACCATCCCTCGCACCCCTCTTCATGCAATCTCAAGGTCACAGTGGGATTTCTGGTTGTCATGTGATATCCCGTTAGGTCTCTTCATCTTTTAGTGTGCAAAGCTCAGATGAGAGATGAGACACATATTACTGCCCCAACCACGTTAAGCTCATCTTTCTCCTGGTCAATTGAAGTCTTCCTGAGAAGCTCCTCCACAGGACAGTCACAAGCTAGTTCTCTTCTCTCCATAAGACTTTCCCACTTGGTGACATTTTCATCAGCCCTGGGCTCTATGACTTTCTCTCTGACCCTCAATAGCCCATGTCCATCTCCAGATTGTCATTTCTCCTAAACTCATTTGTTCAGTGGGTTGTCAATCTATACCCAGATTGAAAGATCCTACCCAATCTTGTGTTATGGGTACTTCCTAATACTTCCACATTTAAAAAGTCATTGCCTTTACTGATGGCCTTGGGACCTACTCGGGATCTCTAGCTGCTCTTGTTTCACTCTCTTTGAAAGCCTTGCCATCATGTTCCTGACCCCCACCTTCAAGAGAAACTGATGTCTCCAAGATGTCCAGTGATGATCTTGTGGCTGTACCTAAGGGCCTCTTCTGAATCTTCCTGCTTCTTGATCTCCCTTTGGCTTTTGACACTGCTAGCAACTGCTGTTCTGGTGTGCTTAACACTGATTTTCTTCCCTGCTAGTTCCTTCTTGTTCACCTTAACTAGTTCACCACTTTTTTTGGGGGGTGGGGGTTGGGCAATGGGGTTACATGACTTGCCCAGGGTCACACAGCTAGTAAGTGTTATATGTCTGAGACTGGATTTGAACTCAGGTCCTCTTGAATCCGGGGCCAGTGCTCTATCCACTGTGCCATCTAACTGCCCCTCTAGCTCACCATCTTGTCCTTTCATGAAAAATAACTGGCTGAAGTCCACCATTCTGCCTCTTTCTTTTTTTTTTTACCCACTGCCTCTCCAAGGATGAAAGAGTAGACCCTCCTTAGGTCCTAGGGTTTCCAAGACATTCCTATGGCCACTCACTGCCACATGTCCAGATCCAGAAAAGAATGTCTCCTGAAATTCAGACCCACATCATGAATAGTCAATGCATACAATTTCAACTTGATGACCCATAGACATCTCAGATGATCCCAAGTCTAGAGATGATTTTCTTATCCTGCCTTGTGTAAAGCACCTTACCTCCTCTCAGCTTCTCTGTTCCTTTCAAGAGCACCAACAGAGGATTCCGGGAAGATGGTGGAGTACTTTAGAAAATTCTAAGCTCTCAAGATTTTCCCCCACAAAAAAAGATAAAATAATGCCTTGGGACAAAATGCTGGTAAAAATAAATAAGAGTAAGGCACAACAGGGGTCACCGTGGAACAAGGGAGAAAATCTTAAGAAAAACCCCAGGAGGAGTTTGGTCCCTGTGAAGAGTAAACACCTCCAGGCAAGGGTCTGCTTAAACAACAAGCAGCAAGATCTGGGGTTAGCTGGTTTGGGTGGCTGCCTCCGCCCCAGCCGCAGGAACTTTTGCTCCCTGAACACTGAGCCCCAGAGGATCGAGGGAATCTCATCTGATGGGGAATGCCAAATCCAGCCGTGCTTCAGAGAGCAGTGGAATGAGAAGGAACCATGTGAGAAATGAAAGAGAAACCATCACTCGCCCGATGAATGCAGAAGCAGTGGGGCAGGATGCTCCTGGCTGTGGGCAGTTACATGAGGCTAGAGTCTTGGTCTGAGTTCAAGTCAGAGGGAAGAACTGAAGAGTATCTGAAGCCAGAAGCACCATCCCCCATACCACAAGACTAGAGGTAATTATAAAAACTAAACTAAAAAAAACAATGCACAGGCAAAGGAGAAAAAATACAACCACAGAAAGTTATTATGGGAATAGAGAGACTGTGGTTCATCTTCAGAGGAGAACATCAAAGTAAAGAAACCCTCTTCTACCCCAAAGAGTAACATCAAATGGTCACCTGCCCAAAAATAACTTATAGAAGAACTTCAAAAGACTTTAAAAATCAAATGAAAGAGATTGAGGAAAAATTTAAAAAAATAAGAACAAGCCAAGAAAAACAAAAAGAGTAGCAAAAGAAAGTCAACCAATTAGAAAGAGATCCAGAGTCTTAAGGAAGAAAATGACTCCTTGAAAATTAGAATTGGGGGGCAGCTAGGTGGTGAAGTGGATAGAGCAACGGCCCTGAAGTCAGGAGGACCTGAGTTCAAATCCGGCCTCAGACCAAACATTTGACACTTACTAGCTGTATGACCCTGGGCAAGTCACTTAACCCCAATTGCCTTAAAAAAAAAGAAAATTAGAATTGGACAAGGGGAAATCAGCAAATTTATAAGAAGTTAAGAAATAATAAAGCAAAATATAAAGAATGAAAAAATAGACGAGAAAATGAAACATAAGAAAAACAAAAAACAATGGATCTGGAGAACAGATCAAGAAAACATAAGAATAATCAGACTACCTGAAAGCTATGATCAAAAAAAGAATCTTGATACATTAATACAAGAAATAATTAAAGAAAATTGTCCTGAAGCATTAGAACAAGGGGGAAAAGTAGAAATAGATTTTTTTCTATCAATGACCACTTGAAAGATATATATATGTGTGTGTGTTTATGTATATGTATATATCTATATCTCTATATAAATATCTCTGTACTTAATTGTAGCCTTCAGGGGAGGAGGAAGGGGGGAAAAACAAATTAAAATTGTAAAGCAGAGAACAAAAGAAAACTTACAAGGAAGCAAAGATAAGATGGACAATTCTCAACACAACGTGGAGTATTTATCATACAGGCTTTCTTGAAATGAAAACTTATTGCTATATATTTTGAATCCTCTCATGTTCTGCTGTGCACATGATGTTTTTTTTTAATTTCTTACTTTTTATTTAAGTTTCAATATGGTTAATGATATGTTTCTTTTACTCTTCTTTATTTTTGTTTTTTAGGCAATTGGGGGTAAGTGACTCACCCAGGGTAACACAGCTAGCGTTAAGTGTTTAGTCTGAGGCAGGATTTAAACTCAGGTCCTCCTGACTTCAGGGCTGGTGCTCTATACCCTGTGCCACTTAGTTGCCCCCTCTTCTCTATTTTGTATTTGAAATTAAAATTAAAAATTAAAATTAAATTAAGTAAAAATTTAATTTAAAAATTTAACTTAAGAATTTAATTAAATTAAAAATAAAAAATTTAAATTTAAATTTAATTTAAATTTAAATTAAAAATTAAGTTAAATTTAAATTAAAAATTAAATTAAATTTTAAAATTAAAATTAAAAATTTTAAATTAAAAATTAAAAATTAAAATAAATTTTAAAATTAAATTAAAAATTAAAATAAATTTTAAAATTAAATTTAAAATTTAAATTTAAAATTAAAAAATTTAAATTTAAAAAAATTTAAAAATTTAAATTAAATTTAAATTGTAAAAAAAGAAGAAGAACACCAACATCAAGCTGAGATCTCAAGTTTACACTCCCAGGGACTTCCCTGCCCCTGTACTATCAATGCAGATATCTGATTAGTTGACTAAACTTGTCAGTTCTACATTCACAACATCACTGCCATCCAAAAACTTCTTTCCAATCACACAGTTCACACCTTCGATCAGGCTTTCATAGCACATCTCTGAAAGAGCCTTTGATGGGCCTCTGAATAAATCTTTTTCCCACCCAGATCCTCTCTCCACTCAGCTACCAAAGGGATAGTCCCAAGGCATTCTTCTGACTTCTGGTCATGTGTAACTCTTAAAAATCACAAGCCCCATATGAGTTATCTTTTAAGTTGCTTTTCCTTCTGTAATGATTTAAATTCATAGCTTCTGTCTGGTGTTTTGCCCTCTTCTTTACCTGGCCCGTTCCCACCTTTCCAATCTCAGTCCGCTTTATTTCCTTACCCACAATTTTGTGGTCTTGCCCATGCTAGCCTCCCTTTTTTCTCTCAGATAATACCCAGCATGTGCCTTCTGCTTGCCTTTGCACTGGCAGGCTGTCCACCCTGCCCGTTATCCTCCCTTCTCTTTTCCCTGCCCCTATGACTTTCCCTGTTCCATTGTTTTCAGTTCTAAACCCAGCTATGGACTGTGGCCTTGTCTCTTTTCCCTAATAGCTTTTTCCTCTACCTCCGATACCTTTTTAAATCAACACTCTGTGTTTGTGGCAGGTGCCTTGGTATTTTCATATTCTTCCTGACTGAGCTGTCTGAGGACAAGGACTCTGTTGACATTTCTTTGTAACCCCAGCCATGAGCACAGTGGCTGGTGCAGTACAAACACTGGGGAGGTGGTTTGTGCTTTGGATGCTTTTGGAATGGTTGTCAGAAGATTGGAATCCACTGATCAGTGCTCCAGGACAGTCTCAACCCCAATTTGAAATTTTTGAGAACTGTTCTGTCACCTGAGTCTCAAGAAGCATTGATTTAGAGAGAGACAGGATTCCATAGCCCAGATAAAGTTTCAGAAGGCCAGGGAAACAAGTATAATGGAAAAACAATGACATCTGGGAGAGAGATGCCGTGAAACCTAGGTTGGAATCAGCCCCATTAACTGCATAGGCTTTGAGTAACATGATAACCATTTCTCATTATAGCAACAAGATAATGGCCGAGCCTTCTCAGAGAAACAACAAATTGAGAGAAAAAACCCTCAGTCAGCTATTGTTGTTTGGGATCAAACAATGAGAAGAATGAGATTTTGCCCTGGCAATTTGATTAATGAGAATTATGCAATTCTGGTCTGTGTCTCCCACACCGCGTGCTGGAAACTTATAAAAGTCCTTGTGTAGATAGTGCTGTATATGCCCGCACAACTTACCCTTAACATCCAGACAACTAGGTGAATCCTGACACAATGTGCTACTGTGGCAGCTACTATGGGGGCCTGGGCTATAGCTATGGCTCTGGTTATGGCTGTGGATGTGGCAGCTTCCGTGGCCTCGGCTGTGGCTTTGGCAGCTTGGGCTGTGGAGGCCTGGGCTATGGTGGCTATGGCTATGGCTACTGGCACCCGTCTTGCTATGGAAGGTATTATTCCTGTGGCTTCTACTGAAAACCATTTGCTCTTGCCCTCTCATGGTAACTTGTCCTGCCCTGCTTTGGGCTAATTCCATGGCCTTGTAAGGACATCACATTCCACCTGCCTCTATGGCTGAGTGGCCTGGGAGAGTTACCACAAGAGGGCCTTGGAATCCCTAGGGAACATTCAGGGCAAAGAAGTGGCAGGGACTGAGAATCAGCAGGACCCGTTCTTCTGCGAAATGATGCAGAATCTCACCCATCATGAGGGATTTCCTTCAATAATAACTCATTTACAGAAGGTTTACTCAGCTTGACATACCATGGCTGAGGTGTCTGTTAAAGGTTTCTAATAAACTTGATTCCCTGGCTCAGCAAAACTTTTTTCATTCATCCTCCTTGACCTCAAAGTACTTGGGTTTCTGTCTGTCATTATGAAGAAATTTTCAACCTTGATGTACTTATCTACATCATTTCAGATTAGTTCTCATTGAATGTTTTGGAATGAGGTGATACCTCTCCAAATTTCTGTTCGTTTCCGGTATACTTAGGTGGCCCTTCATCCCATCATTTCAGACCCTCTATCTCTGACTGAACCTTACAGTTGTGCCTCTTTTCCTTTCTCTCTTCTCTACTCTCTATAGAGGTGGGACAGTAGACCCTCCTTAGGTTTCAGGATTTGTTGACCTTTTCTCTGTCACTCACTGTGGAATATGCAGATGCAGACAATCATCTCTCCTGAGCTCCAGTCTCACAACATAAACTGTCAATGTCCACAGATTTCAACTTGATATTCACTACATATCTCAAAACCCCCACATCTAATACAGAATTCCTTTCCTTGTCTTGGCCAAAGCATACCACCTTTTCTCAATTTCTCTATTCTTTTCAAGATCACAAAAATCTAGCCAAGGACTTAGGTTCACCATGTCAGGGACCTCCTTGAACCCTCACTATCACAGCATCAATATGAGCAGTTTACAAAACTTGTCCTATCTACCTACATAACATCTGTGGTATTCAAGAACTTCTCTCAAAACCCATAGCCCCCATCTTAGATCGGGGCCTCACAGCTCCTCTCTACTAGTGCCTTTGATAGGCCTCCCTGTTTCCACCATCTTCCCACTCAGATTGCTTCTCCAAGCATCAACCTAAGGTATTGTTCTAAAGCCTTCATCTGACCCCTGTTTCCCCTAAAGCCCTCCAAGTTCCTGGCCTTACACCAATTGTCTTGTAAACTCCCATTGCTTCCCGTTTTGTGCTGATTTAAATAGACAGCATCTGTCTGGAATTTTTCTCTCTCCTTAGTTGGCCGATTCCCACCTTTCCAGTCTCATTACACTTTATTTTACTCCCCACAATTTTTTTTTATCTCGCCAGAGCTAGCCTACCTTTCTTTTATTCAGACAGTGTGCTTCATGTCCCTTCTGCTTGCCTTTGCAGTGCTTGACTGTTCACATTGTGTGGAGATTAAAATTGTCCAACCTACAATAAGAGAGACTGAGTCAGAGCTCTGAGCCAATGGCATTTTATTGGAGGGTACATTGTCCCCACTAATGAAGTGGACATTAGATGTTCTTCATGATCTGAGAAACCCTCTTTTTCCAGGGCCCAATTTTCATATGGTTTGACACCAGATTTGATACTTAAACATTCTAAAGAGGGTATACAAAGTACAGAACCTGATTGGTTGATGGATTGTGCTTTGTTGGTTAAGAAATGATGAATAAGCTAGAAATGGTATGTCAGGAGGAGAGTCTTGGTTTGGGCTAGGCATGGGGTATCTCCACTGACTACATTGTTATAAGATGGTCACTTGCTCATGTTGAACAAGAGAAAATGGTCTGGAGGCACAAAAATAAGTTGAGAGACTTTCCATGTCATTGAGTCACCTCCACCATGTGTTACTTGGTCACCAAAACAAGATAAAATAAGGGTGGAGGGCCTCTAGTTTGCTCCCTATGGTAAAAAAGCGCACTTACAATCTCCAGATCACAGCTCTGTGGCCTAATATACAGAACTTATAATTCCTACCCCTATGGAATTATATCAAATTGATTAATACTGATTGGAATGTAGTAGAGGTTCAAATGAAATATTTTCACATCTCTTCAGAATCCCATCCTCTCTCTTCCATCCCACTCTGTTTTTCTCTATTCTACTGTATTCTCAGTTCTAAAATCACCTCTGGTATATGGCCTTTCTTCTTTTCCCTAGTGGCTTGTGCATTGGATTATGAGATCTTCTCCCAACAGTCTCCATGTTTGTGGCAGGTGCCTTGGTTTTTTATGTTCTCCCTGGACTTAATACATCAGAGTAACCTGAGGACAGGGACATTGTTGACATTCCCTTGTATGCTTAATATGTGCACAGAGGCTGTCACAGAGCAAACACTGTTGAGGTGGTTGGTACTTTCATGGCTTTTGGAATAGTTGTTGGATGGATGGATTCCACAAAGTTATGCTCCACCACTATCTCAATTCCAATCTGAAATTTCTGTGAACTGTTCTGTTACTTAAGTCTTAAGAACCATTGATTTAGAGAGACAGGATTCCATTGCCCAGACAAAGAATCAGAAGACCAAGGGAGAAATGGATAATGTAACGAAAACAATGCCATCTGGGAGAAGGGTGCCATGAATCCTTGGAAGGGTATCAGTCACATTAACAACATAGGCCTTGGCAACATGATACTCATTTCTCATTAGAACAACAAGATAATGACTAAGCCTTCTCAGAGGAACCACAAATGAAGAAAAAATAAACTGTTTCTGAGCTGGAGGAATTGTTGTCAGGGACTAAACAATGACAAGAATGGGATTTTGCCCTGGAATTTGGTTAATGGAAGTTACACAATTCTGGTTCTGAGTCTGCCACACCTCCTTCCTGTTGGAAATGTATAAAAGTCCTGGTGCAGATGGTGCCCTACACAGTCACACAACCTACTGTTAACATCCATCCAACTAAGTGAATCCTGACACAATGTGCTACTATGGCAGCTACTATGGGGGCCTGGGCTATGGCTATGGCTCTGGTTATGGCTGTGGATATGGCAGCTTCCGTGGCCTAGGCTGTGGCTTTGGAGGCTATGGCTATGGAGGCCTGGGCTGTGGTGGCTATGGCTATGGCTGCTGGCGCCCATCTTACTATGGAAGGTATTATTCCTGTGGCTTCTACTGAAAAACCATTTGCCCTTGGCCTATCATGGCAACTTGTCCTGCCCTGCTTTGGGCTAATTCCATGGCCTTGTAAGGACATCACATTCCACCTGCCTCTATGACTGGGTGGCCTGGGAAGCTACTATAATAGGGCCTTGGAATGCCTATGGAGCACTCAGGGCAAGGAAGTGGCAGGGAGAAGCAGAAGACCCCATCCTTCTGGGAAACGATACAGAATTTCATCTGTCATGAGGGAGACTCCACCAATGAAAACTCATTTCCAGCAAGTTTGCTCAGCTCTGATAGACTATGGCTGAGCCATATGTTAAAACTTTCTAATAAACTTGTTTCACTGGCTTAGCAAAACTTTGTTTGCCTCTCCTCCTTGACCTTACTGTACTTGGATTTCTGCCTTTATTCATGAAGAGATTTTCAGCCGTGATTCAGCCATCAATGCAGAAGATTTGCTCTCCAATGCTTCTTCTGCAATGAGGTGATTCTCCAGATTTCCATTCAGAAAACATTTCATTGTTAAATGTCCTTCTAAAATTTGACTTCTGCAGTACTTTATTTTAGTACACCATAATACTCAGGCCCCCCTTTACTGAAGGTAAGTCATTTGTCCCCTATAAGCTACATCCCTTCTCACATGTTCTAGACACACAGGGAAAGGGTTTTTATGTTTAAGGTTTCAAAAGTGTCACATCTTACAGTGTCATGTTCATGGTTCATGACCTCCAGATCCAAGGTGTCCCTAATTCTGTCAGAACTGGCAACCTATTGTATGGGGCAGCTAGGTGGTGCATTTTATTGACTGTTGGGCCTAGAGTCATGTTCTTGAGTGCAAATCAAATCAAATCAGACACTAGTGTTCATGACCCTGGGCAAGTCATTTAACCCTATTTACCTCAGTTTCCTCATCTGTCAAATGAGCTGGAGAAGAAAATCACAAACCACTGTGTTATCATCACCAGGAAATCCTTGAATGATCTCCCAGGTGAAAAACAAATGAACAATAAATTCCTTTTTTAGCTTTCTTCCACCATTTGTTGTCATCAAGCAATTTGAAGACTTGGAGCATAGCACGAGTGGATAGCTCACCACAAAGATTGCAGGAGAGAGTCATATTCCAAGTCTCATGGTTGTCATGGAACCTTGTGCCCTTTGTTGGCCCCATCTCCTCAGGCCAACTGCACAACCTGTCCAACTCACAGCACTGATCTAGAGCTAAGGCCTCCTGTCCACAGAGAAAGAGGTCCAATTGTGGCGAGCGTGTCCAGCAAAACACTCAAAAAACTCAACTCCCTAAGAAACTCAAACACAAAAGGAAAGAAAACATCTGCTTTGCAGGTCAGCTTGCTTTCTATGGGTCTTTAGATTCTTTACCTCCATCAGTCAATGTGGCCTCTGAAATCATACCCTTTGTATGTGTCCTTGGAAGAAAGCCAAGTTTAGCAAGGTTAGCATTCTCTGGCACTGAGTGGCTGCTGGATAATTGTTTACTGATTGAATTTATGTTTCAGACAGCAGAGAAAACAGTGCAAGTGCCACTACTATCATTATCTTAAAATGCCTATGTATTACTATATATCAGAAATTGGAATTACTCTGAATTGAAAAAAAAAACAATATATATATATATATATATATATTTACACATACATTTCTGTATATCCACAGGATTTTAAAGGGACATGCCCTCAACAGCCTCATTGTCTTTGATTTCTCCCAAAATATAAGTCCAAAAGATTCACCAATCATTTGTCAGGAGATATTCTATAAGGATCAGTTCAATAGGAACAAATTCTTCAGGAAAAAGAACATTTCTTGCTTGGACACCTAGCATTGGGCAAAGAATATTCCATTCTGTTTAGCAAAGACAAAAATCAGTTTAGAGGTAGGTGACTGTCCACACTGTATGGGGATTAAAATTGTCCAACCTACAATAAAAGAGACTGAGGCAATGCTCTGAACCAATGGCACTTTATTAAAGGATCCTTTGTTCCCTCTAATGCAGTGGACCTCTGATCTTCCTCATGATCTGAAAAGCCTTTTTCCAGGGCCTGATTTTTATCAAGTTTGATATCTAAGCATACTAAAGGGGCTATATATATTATAGAATCCCATTGGTTGATAGATTTGCTTTGCAGGCCAAAAAATGTTTCATTAGCTAGAAATGGTATGTCAGTTGGGGAGTCTTGGGTTCAGCCAGGCATGGGGCATCTCCACTGACTAAGTTGTCATAAGATGATCACCTGCTCATGTTGAACAACGGAGTATGGTCCGGAGGTACAAAAATAAGTTGGGGAACTTTCCATGTCATTAAGTCACCACCACCAGGCTGGGTTTGGTCACCATAACAAATGAAGATAAGGGTGGTGGGCCTCTAGTTAGCTTCCTATGACTAGGGAAGTGAACTTACAATCCACAGGTCACAGTTCTGGGGTCTAATATACAGAACATATAATCCCTAACCCTATGGAATCATATCAAATTGCTTAATAATGATTGTAATGGAGTAGGGGTCCAAATGAATTATTTCTCACATCTGCTCAAAATCCTATCCTCTCTCCTCCCTTCCCCTCTGACTTTCTATTCCATTATATTCTCAGTTCTAAAATCATTTGTGGTACATGGCCTTTCTCCTTTCCCCTAGTGGTTTGTGCCTCTGTTTCTTGGGTCTTCACCTACCAACCCTGTATATTGGGGAGAAGTTCCTTAGGTTTTTTTTTTTGGGTGTTCTCCCTGGCCTTAAAACTTCAGTGCTACCTGAGGACAGGCAATCTGTTGACATTCCCTTATATCCCTAAGAAAAACACAGTGCTTCTCACAGTGCAAACATTAGGGAGGTGATTGATACTTTCATGGCTTTTGGAATAGTTGTTGGATGGATGGATTTAACAAAGCTATGCTCCACCACTATCTCAATTCCAATCTAACATTTCTGTGAACTATTCTGTCAGTTGAGTCTTAAGAACCATTGATTTAGAGAGACAGGATTCCATCACCCAGATAAAGAATCAGAAGACCAAGGGAGAAAAGGGTAATGTAAGCAGAACAATGCCATCTGGGAAAAGTCTGGGTAGGGCATCAGCAACATTAATCACATTGACATTGACAACACAATAAATATTCATTACAGCAACAAGATAATGGCTGAGCCTTCTCAGAGGAACCACAAATGAAGAAAAAACAAAACAGTTACTGAGCTGGCAGAATTGTTGTTCAGGAACCAAACAATGACAAGAAAGGAATTTTACCCTGGAATTAGGTTAATGGAAGTTATGCAATTCTGGTTCTGCGTCTACCATACCTCCTTCCTGCTGGAAGAGTATAAAAATCTCCGTGGAGAGGATGCCCTACACACTCACACAACCTACCCTTAACATCCATCCAACTAAGTGAATCCTGACACAATGTGCTACTATGGCAGCTACTATGGGGGCCTGGGCTATGGCTATGGCTCTGGTTATGGCTGTGGATGTGGCAGCTTCCGTGGCCTAGGCTGTGGCTTTGGTGGCTATCGCTATGGAGGCCTGGGCTGTGGTGGCTATGGCTATAGCTGCTGGCGTCCATCTTACTATGGAAGGTATTATTCCTGTGGCTTCTACTGAAAACCATTGGCTCTTGGCCTCTCATAGCAACTTGTCCTGCCCTGCTTTGGGCTAATTCCACAGCCCTGTAAGGACGTCACATTCCACCTGCCTCTATGCCTGAGTGGCCTGGGAGAGCTAAAACAACAGGGCCTTGGATTGCCTATGGAGCACTCAGGGCAGGGAAGTGGCAGGGACTGAGAAGCAGGAGAACCTGTTCTTCAGGGATTTGAGGCAGAATTTCACCTGGAATGAGGGAGACTTCTTCAATGACAACTCATTTCCTGCAAGTTTGCTCAGCTAGGATATACCTCAGCTGAGCCTTCTGTTAAAACTTTCTAATAAACTTGTTTCACTGGCTTAACAAAACTGTTTTTGCCTCTCCTCCTTGACCTCACTGTACTTAGGTTTCTGCCTTTATTCATGAAGAGATTTTCAGCCTTGCTGTACTTTTTTACATCAATGCAGAAGATTTGCTCTCCAGTGCATCTTTTGCAAAGAAGTGATCCCTCTCCAGATTTCTATTCAGAAAACGTTTTTTCCTTATTAAATGTCTTCCTAAAATTTGAATTCTGCAGTATTTCATTTTAGTACATCATAATACTCAGACCCCACTTTACTGAACTCAAGGTATTTGTTCCCCATGAGCTATATCCCTTCTCATATATCCTAGGCACACAGGGACAGGGCTTTTATCTTAAAGTTTTCAAAAAGTTTCACATGCTTATGCTGTCCTGTTCATGGTTCTTGACCTCCAAATCCAAGGTGACTTGATTCTGTCTGAATTGAATTAACCTGTTGTCTGGGCAGGTAGGTGGTACATTTTATCAACTGTTGGGCCTAGAGTCATCTTGAGTTCAAATATGTCCACCATACTAGTTTACCTGACCCTGGGCAAGTCACTTAACCATATTGACCACAGATTCTTCATCTGTCAAATGAGCTGGAGAAGAAAATGGCAAGCTACTCTGTTATCATTTTCAAGAAATTCTTGAATGGGCTCCCAGTGGACAAACAACTGAACAATAAAACCCTTGTATAACTTTCTTCCACCATTTTGTTGTCAGCAAGTAATCTGAAGTCTTGGAGCACAACATGAATGGATAGCCCACCACAAAGATTGCAGAAGAAAGTCATATTCCAAGTCTGAAGTTTGTTATGGAATCCTGTGCCTTCTGTTGGCCCCATATCTTCCAGCCAATTGCACAACCTGTTCAACTCACTACACTGATCTCGAGGTAAGGCCTCCTGTCCACAGAGAAAGAGGTGCAGTTGTGGCAAGGGCATCCAGCAAAACACTCAAAAACCTCAACTTCCTAATAAACTCAAATACTAAGAAAAAGAAAACATCTGCTTTACAGCTCAGTTTGCTTTCTATGGGCCTTTAGATTCCTCACCTCCATAGGCCAATGTAGCCTCTGAAATCATG